CGCCGGATTCGGACGTCATTTGTTGGTGTTTTACCTGGGAGGCCGGCGTCTCCGGCGGGCTGGAAGTGTTGAGTAGAGTTTCCATGAAACAGAAGATATTGAGAGAGAATGCGGCTTGCAGTTGGGGATGTTTTTTTGTTCACAAGTGAGAAAGTGGATTAATATAAATAATAGATAGAACGAGAGAATAAAAATATTTTGCTTATAAGTCTTGAACTTCCACCAATGTTCCTCACACGTCCCTATATTTTAAATTCTTTTAATTTAGTGTCGAACTTCCAAATATGGCTATCATTATATCCCTCTATCCAGAGTTAATTATTTCAATAATCATCTCACTTATACTATGATCACGATTTACTCGTTAAATTTCAAAATGCTTCACATTGTTCATTGAACTTTGCCTGTTTACATTACATCCATCACCCTCAAATTCGTTATCTTATTCGTTGACGTGATTAACGAAAATCTCACGTAATAAGTTATGGTCGTTAAAAAAATTACAACTCATTCAAACCATTATTTCATTACTCATCCAACTTACACTTGATCATGGTTTACTTATCAAATTTCAAAATTCTTCACAAATGGTCACTTACCTTTGAGATGTAGCACTCCATCCATCATCTGCCATATTTCGTTCCATTTATTGTAAATGTATTGCACGAAAATCTCATGTGGCAAGTTGCAATCGTTAAAAAAATAATTTGGTCGATCCATGAATTCAACAAAATCATCAATGTGAAACGTGACTTTCTTGGTCCTGTAATCTTCTTTAAAACTTAATAAAGCGTTCTCAAATTCAGTGCCCCTAAAATACCCTAGTGTCCAATTTATTCATCTCACCTACATACAACTAAATTGAGTAATAAGACAAAGTTGATTGTTGATAAAGATACGAGAAGCTACTAATTATAAAACCTTATCCCCCAATTGTACCATTTGTTTGACGTCTTTCTAATCTTGATCTTCCATTTTTGCAGGAATGTATCTAACTATTTGAGGAAAGGAATGTCATCGAACTCTGGCAAAAAATGATGAACGAAGAACAACAAACACGAACACAGCCTAGAAGGTATTCTACCTTACACCAACCACCAGGGTTTGATAACATTGCCTTCTTAAAATAGTTGTATACGTGCATTCAATAACTAAGAAAATAAAATAAGAGAGACGTCAAGCAAATGGTGCAATGGGATAAAGTTTTATAAGTAGTGGCTTATCGCATCCTTCTCAACAATTAGCTTTGTTTTATTACACAATTTAGTTATACATAGGTTATATGAGGGAATTGGTGGTTAGGATTTTTTAGGGTTGAAATTGGGGACTCTTTATTGGATTATGAAAAGATTTATGAGGTCGTAAAAGTCGTATTTCACATATGGTGATTTAATGAGTAGATGGCTTTGGTCGAATTGATTTTTTTTTTTTAACGATTATAACTTGTCAAGTGAGATTTTGTGCGATATAATAGCAATGAAGGGAATGAAATATGGCGGATGATGTCTGGAGTGCAACATTTAAAAAATGAGTGACCATTGAGAAGCATTTTGAAGTTTTACGGTCATAACTTGTCATGTGAAATTTTCGTTAGTCACATCAGTGAATAAGGTAACAATTTTTTAGAGTGATGGATGGAGCGCATACATGTAAAATTTATTGAGAACTGCGAAGCACTTTGAAGTTTAATGAAGAAACCCTAACCATGGTATAAGTTGGTAATTATTAAAACAATTAACTCCTTCCATCCATCTCACTCAGCCCTTTAGTAAATCGACTGTACTTCATGTACATTACAATATATAGATTTATTTATCAACATATGATTTACATTCAAAATTAATTATTAACTTTAATTTATATTTTGATCAAATCTTTTAGCGGAACCAAACAAGGGCTCAATGTTCCATTAACCATTATGCTAAAGTGGCGAGCCATAAATGAAATAACAGGGGTGGATGTTGACAACATAAATAAATATGGGTAGAAGTTCAAGGATAGATGGGATATTTAGCCAATCTTTATAAGTAAATACGCGAGTTAAACCATAAGAAAAATAGTATGGTTTCAAAAATATAAAAATTCCAAATAATTTTCAGTCTTTATAAGCTATCCCAAAATGCTATTAGGCTGCTAAGGTGTTAATTATTTTAGACTTGGAATAAATTTAAGAATTTAATTTGTTATGATTAAGGATTGAATTTTTAGTATATTCTTAGAAATGTATATCTATAATATATTAAATATCACATCAAGTGAAAATTATTTTTTGGATGATTTTAATCTTACTACAGTTCAATTATTTCAATAATACCTTACTTTTCGTTTTCAATATTTAAATATTGTAAAATCCTCGTCATGTATAAATTTCATGTTATTAATTCTCAATTAATTAATATTTACATTAATCCACACTTAATAA